TACACATCTTAAAGCTGCCAAGGTTGAGAAACACTGGTCTAGAGTTTTCAAACAAGTGAGATTGGTCCAGAATTATCTTAATTATCTGAAAGTCGCCAAGACTGAGAAACACTGCACTACAGGGATCAGAAATCAAATATTATTTTAAAAAATGCATCCCTGAACAGCACCAACTCTAAACTCTTGTTCTAGGTCTTAAGCCAAACGAACCTCATTACAGCTTAACGCAGCTTGTGAGTCCAGCCCCATTCTGACTGTGACACCATTCATGCACAGATGATTGTGGGAACGACAAGATCTGAAGAAATACACAGAGACGTGTATGAGAAAGAAATACGTTTTGTTTTACTCTTGGAACCATCGGAGTTGGCCCTGTTTCAGTGGCGTCCATGGAGGGATCGAAATCTGAAAGAGGGCGGGTACAGCGTCACAATCGAGGTCCAAGGCTTCGATTGCGATGTTGTACTGCCCTTCTGTAGATTTTTGCTCCCTGTCAATGGCCTTGCCGTGCTCTGTTAGGATAAAAAATCAGAACAGCTCAAGTGTTTTGTTCTCGTTCCCCAAACAAACCTTGAAACATGGATGTGTTGCTGAAAGTTTGAACACTCAAAATGTCTCCTGTTTCACAATCGAGGTGGTCAAGATCAAGCTTGTTTTCTACGCTCCAAATGCCGCTGCTCAAAAGTCAAATTTTGCTCTGACTTCACATTGCTTTGAAACACCCAAAATGGCCTTTTGAACTCCCAGCGTGTTGAAATCCAAAGGTTTTTCACAGTCATAAACCACATTTTGGCGGAGGAAAAGCAATTCAGGAGATATAGAGAAGCAGTAGCACGACCCATGTTTTTATGTTATATGAACCTGTACAGCAGTGTTTCGCAGTCTCAGCAACTTTAAGATCGGTGGACTTCAACTCCCAGAATTCCCCAGCCAGCCTTGTTAGCTTTATATCCCTTTACAGCAGTGTTTCGCAGTCTCAGCAACTTTAAGATCGGTGGACTTCAACTCCCAGAATTCCCCAGCCAGCATGCTGGCTGGGGAATTCTGGGAGTTGAAGTCCACCGATCTTAAAGTTGCTGAGACTGCGAAACACTGCTGTAAAGGGATATAAAGCTAACCTTGAACGATTAAGTGGGGAAGGAAGGAAGGAGCCATGAAGGGGGGACTCGCAAAAGAGACTACACAGCCCCATGAAAATGGAAAGCATGAGACAGAAACTCAAAATAACCCCACCTTGCTCTTGTTTGGTATAAGATGGGACAGACACAAACTCAGGCTTTCAAGATCTACCTTACTACAATCAAGTTCATTCTTAGAATCCCCGCCATGTTTGATCTCGACCTGGCCTACCTCAAAGGGCTGGCAGAACCCAACTAATGAGTTTGCTCCTTTAGCGATTGGACTGAATGTCTGTAGTGTGTACATGTATATACACATTTGTATGTATACACCCCTCTGCATTCTTAGCTTTGTTTCCACACAAAACTCCACAGGAAGCAAGCCCACAAAGAAATCATAGAATCAAGGAAGGGACCTTGGGGGTCTTTTAGTCCAAGGCAGGAGTCCTCATACCCTCTCGGACCAATGGTTGTCCAATCTCTTCTTGAAAACCTCCAGTGATGGAGTACCTGCAACTCCAGGAGGCCAGCTCTTCCCCTGCTTAATAGTTCTCACTGTCAGGAAATTCCCCCTTATTTGCAGGTGGGATCTCCCTCTGACGAGCTTCCGTTCATTGCTTCTTGTCCTAAGCTCAACACACATACCTAGTTCCTTCAGCCGTTCTTCATCGGATTTAGCCTCCAGACCCCACTTCATCTTTGTTGCTCTTTCAAGGGCCTCAGCACCTTTTCTGTAGGGGGGTGACTAGAACTGGACACAGTTTTCCAAATGTGGCCAATAAAAAACTGCCAATAAAAAACTAATTATGGGCAAAATTCACCGATAACTGGCTGGCATCGAGAGGGAAGTGGAATGGGCATTCCTGGAAGACACAGAGCCCAAACTGAGATGCCCACGTTGTGTTTTCCGACATGAGCAAAGTCAGATGAAAGTTTGCAGCTGGCCTTTGGTTAGGGGACCGAAGCACACGTCCTCCGCCCCACAAAATTGTGTGGGGTCCCAGGATTCTGCAGGAGCAAAAATGGGACAAGCAAAAATAAAAGTGCCTTAATCATTGTGACATTTGGGCCAAAGTCAAAAAGAACCTATAATGAAAACCAGGAGGTAGTTTTTAATGGGGTAGGGCTACACTAGAAAAGGCCGAGGAAGACATGCAGAAGAAGTGTCTGCTGGGGTCAAAGAAGTCAAGATGGCGGCCACAACCATGTGACTGAAGCCCCACCCTTTTCTTACACACATCTCAAAAGTCTGCTAAAAAGGATGAGGCTTCAATCACATGGTTGTGGCCACCATCTTGACTTTTGTAGCCCATCTGCAGATGCCTCTGGATGAAGAATGGAAGAGAAAGGCCAAGGCAATATTACCTGACAAGATCCTTAAAACTAGAAGGTTTTGGAAGTAAAAATACTCCCTTTGAAACTTACTCCAGCTTTACTAAAAAATTGATTCAGCACTTAGGGCTGTGTTTCTCAACCGTGGCCACTTGAAGATATGTGGACTCCAACTCCCAGAATTCCCCAGCCAGCCAAGCTGGCTGGGGAATTCTGGGAGTTGAAGTCCATACATCTTCAAGTGGCCAAGGTTGAGAAACACTGGCTAAGGGCCTCATTACCTTTCCAACCACAACCACTGATATCAAGTGTTTATTGAGTTTGCCAGTAGTTGAGTTTGTTGAGTTTGCCAGTAGTTGAGTCTGCCAGTAGCTTGGTGGACTTATGGAAGAGAAGGCTGCTTTCATAAGTCCACCAAGCTCAGATTTGCCAGCGGTCATGAGTAGCAAGTTTGCAAGGCCCAAGGACCTGGAAGAGAATCTAAACTGGAGAACTTCAGGAGTCTCCTGTATGTGGTGCAGAGAAGGTCAACAAGGATCTGCTCTTACTGTCTTTCTCTTCTCTTTTGTATTTCACTATTTCAACCATCAAAAAATACTTTTTTGAAAACAAGGATGAGCAGGGGACCAGAAACCAAAGTCTTAAGCGATAAGAGGGTAGGAAGTGGACACATGGAGCCTTGAGCCGACGATGTCAAAAAGAAGATCAAGTAGAACCTCTTCAAGTGTGTTCAAGGGGTGTCATATAGAAGAATGCCAAGCCCTGTTCTTTATTGTTTCAGAGCAGCTTTTTTCAAACTTGGCAACTTTAAGAGATGTGGACTTCAACTCCCAGTAGGCTGGCTGGGCAATTCTGGGCATTGAAATCCACCCCTCTTAAAGTTGCAAAGTTTGAAAAACACTCTTCCAGAGGGCAGGGCATGGAATAAAGTTACAGAAAGAGAGATTCCAGTTGACTGTTCCAAGGAAAAAATGGAGGCGGGACAGCTATCGGTTGTGGATGCTTTAATGCAGATTTCCTCTCGTATCAAGAGGGATGGACGTGGCACCCTCAAGACCCCTTCCAACTCTAAAGATTTCTCCAGGAGCTGTTGTGATTGCCAAACTAAAGGAACTGCTGGTCTGAGCTAGGCTTTTGGAGAAGAAAATGGGTCTTTAAGTGTTGAGTTTATGTGCCTCTGAATGCCAGCCACATTTAGGAAGAAAGGCCACTGATGTCCTACTTGACCAAAAGCCCTCCTTGAAAAGACTGGCTAATGACTGTCAGAGACAGGAGGCTCAACTGAATTAGATCTTTGGTTTAGTTGATTCCACAGATGCATATTCTGTTCTTCTAGAATGACCAGATGCAAATCTAGAGATGTTCTTCATTTGTGTTCACCATCAGGGTTGGCCATAGTTACCTTCCACCAAATGGTAATGAAAAATCTTTATAAATCCAGTTAATTCCTCGGAGAAAGTTGGAAAGGACAGTGGAAATGACCCTAGGTGAAACTGTCTATAACTAAAAAAAAAAAAATCTCATTCTTAAAATACCACTAAATTACAACAAAAGAGTCTAAAAGAGGCTTAGCATATCCAGAGATGGAGAAACCACAGTTGAGTCCTCAGTATATGGTTGGGTACGAAATCTGGCTTTCAGATGTTGCCTTCATCCAACATTTGGTTCAGCCCTTCGCAGATCCTTTGCAGGTGTGCCTGGTAGGGCTCAGAAGAGCTGTAGAGAGCTGAAAGAAACTCATAGTCCGCAAAGTGGTTGAAGACGTGGTTGATCCGAGAATGGGACTTGGTTGTCAGGTGAGTGTTGACTGCTTGGTGTAGCAGGTCACGGCATTCATTGAGCATGTTGGACATGACCCGGCGGTCAAAGGTAAAGTCTATCTGATAGAAACTGACTGCAGTCATGGCCAAGGTGTGAACCTTCTTCCTGAAACGCTCCATCAACACCTGCTCTTCAACACTGAACTGTTTGTTGCGGTACAAGACACCCAACTTCATGACAATCTTGATCAGGTTTTTGATGATCTTCTGGGCTTCCTTGCGGTTGTGAGTGAATTCCTTGGTGACCCGGTACAGCTCGTCCAGGATCTCACTGCTGGTGTCATCAATGAAGATGCTTGCCATGTTCTTGGATGCCATCTTGCTCAGGAGCTTCTTCTGAGCTTGGAGAGCCAAATTCTTAGTGCTGAAGGTATCCATCTTCCCTGAGAAATGGGAGAAAGGGCAGGTGTGTTAAACTTTCCATCATCATCACCATCACCATCACCATCTTAATACATTATAGCTGGAAGCAAGATGGGTTATCATCTGAAGATGATTTTACCCAGCTTCACTTCACAAGTTGTGATCCTTCCTGGAACCTTTGTTGGTACCAACACATCAGCACCTGAAGACCTGATCACAACTGCCAGTGAGGTGTAGATACAGAGTTAGACTGTCTTCATGTTCTCTCTCTGTCTACAGAACGGCTAACGTCAGCTCACCTTTTACTTCCAGGTTCACATACCTAGACAACATGATTTTTGATTCCTTCTGGTAGGCTGTCGCTAGCTAGATCAGCGTTGCTGACCCTATCATGTGTCTTCTATAAGTAAATGTCCTTCCTGTTTCGATGATAAAACCTGCTTTACTAATCTCTGCTCAGGTCAGATTCTTGCTTTCTGGAATAGTAGGAGGAAAGCTGTGTTAATCTAGAGTAACAAAAAATAAACAGTGATCTGGTAACACTTTTTCTGATGAACAAATTTGTTTAAAAGACTTGTGCTAAGGGACACCTAATTTTTTGCTTTCGGAAATGCTGTCTCTCACACACACTCACACTCACACTCACAAATGCTTCCACCCCAAATCTTGATTCCCTGGCAGTGGTCACTCATACCTTCATCACCCCATAGATCAGCGTTTCTCAACTTAGCAACACTAAGATGGGTGGACTTCAATTCCCAGAATTCCCCCCTACCTCCCACCCCAGCCCTCTGGAGGTGGGGGGGTAGTGGAAGCTAGACTCGCGTTCTTATGAATCGTGATCATTCAAATTGAGACGCGGCTGCG